GAGAGAGAGAGAGAGAGAGAGAGAGAGAGAGAGAGAGAGAGAGTGTGTGAGTGTGTGAGAGAGAGTGTGTGTGTGTGAGAGAGAGTGAGTGTGACAAGAGCTATATTCAGAGCTCTGCTGCCTTGGCTACAATCTTTCGTCGTTGCTGTTGGTGTTGGTGTTTAACTACGGTATTTAGTGTCTACAGCACTAGGGATCGACCGATATGGCTTTTTCAAGGCCGATGCCTTGTGTGTGTTTGACACTGGCATTTGTTATTATGATAGTGTCGTTCGTTCCGGTGCACTCCGACAGCATTTAGCACTACATCGAGATTAAGATTAAACTAATTTATTTTGGGAACACCCACATATATTACTATGGAGTTAGCCTCTTCCTACTTGGCGCACCGGTAACTTTCTCGTGCGAACGAGAGGCTGAGACCTGCTGAGCCGCCGAATCCCTCGAAACACCATAAAAGCCATTTTCAACTGTTTTCTGGTGGAAGTTTAACTAGGCTACTGGATGAAATAATATGACTTGTATAGGTGCGAAAATTACACTTTTTGAAAAAAACGGTATGATAAAATATTTTTATATATTTATAATTCTGCAAATATTACGATAAATTCACAGCTATTTCGCGGCCCGGCAGTAACACCTCCCGGGGGTTAGGAACCCCTGATTTAGAGGACACGTTTCATTTTCAGCCACTCTCTTTTCCTGGTTAAATTACCACAGTAGCTCCCGACCTTTTTTCAATGGTAACTAGGCTTAAAATATAAGCTGATTATTACACATTGTCTAGGGGGGTCCGGGGTACAACTCTCAACACTCATATGAAACAGAACTAATAAAAAAAACATTAGAATATGCTCACAACCAATAACAAATATTTGATAAACTCCTCTCTCCTATCTTTATCTTACCTAGTCTGCATTCTTTCTTGTTATTTATGCATATTTTACTAATCACTCCCCTTTCAAACTGTGTTTTGAATTTTTTACCGACCTATAGTACACATTGGAATGATTTCTTAACTTATTTTTTACAACTATATTAAATAGATGCAAATATTTCTTTACATAGATGACCAAACCGTTTGAGACCCACTGAGATAACTTAGAGTTTACAATCTAATCACTCAGCGAGTCCTTTACCTCACCTAAACTGACGTTATCTCAGTCTGACAGGAGAGGACTCTCCCTCTCCTTATTGTTGAAACAGCTTCTAATCTCCGTTAGCTCCGAGCTAGCACCAGATGCTAACAACAACCCCCGTAACTGGTGCTGTGTTTATATCTAGTTCCTGTTGCTTCTAAAACACCTGACTTTCCTTACAGGGATATATTAAGGTTTATCTTATCTTAATGCGTTCCACAGGCTGGAATCTTGTGTAGCAATTAATTAACGGTGTCTTTTCATATGTCCCTTAACAGGAGGAGTTTGTTTGCGAACCACCAATGATCACTCGTCACACCTCCAAGATGTTTGTGATGGAGGGTCAGGAGGTCAGCCTACGCTGTAAGTCCATCGGCGATCCTGAGCCTTCAACACACTGGGTCACTCCTGATGGAAAGCTTATAGGCAACACGTCCAGAACCATCTGCTATGAGAATGGCTCGCTGGACATCCTCAAAGCCTCAGTGAAGGTAGATGCATGCTATAATTCTCATGGAATTAGTATATTTGTGTGGTATGCTGATTTATTCTAAACTGTTGGCCTATTTTCTATGCATTGCTGTTTAATTGAAAGATACCAAAAGATGTTGCAGCTCATAATAATTTACTGTGTACTGTTTAGTGTGTAAAGACTAGTCAGCTTATTATATTCATTTTATGAAGAACATTTGAAAACAAATAATGTTGCCTTGAATGCTGTTGAGAGTTTAGAAAAACATTGTTTTGTGAGTATACGCATGTTTCCAAATCAATAAGGAATTATTGACTTTGTTATTGTTTTTGACAGTTATTAATGCTTAATGAAATTAAGAACTAAGATACATAATAGCTTGAAATAGGAGACATGGAATTTATTTACCATTTGGGAGGGGAGTAGCTCTTTATGTAAGGATTTGGCTTGGTTCAAGAGGGTCGCCGGTTCAAGTACAGGTAGACTGTTACCTGGAGACCAACCATTTTGCCTCCTGCCTTCTAATGCTAGGATGGGTGAGATGAAGAGTCTTAATTTTACTTTGTGCAGTGCTTTTTATATGTGTCGTAAATTAAAATTAGATTTGATTCAAATCCTCCATAATTACTTAACACCTGCTATACATATATGTATAGGATTAAAGTTCAACAACCAGAACTGCAGCTTAGTGTTGGCATTTAGGAGGAAACTCAAATAAAATGAAGAAACAATTGCCAGGATAATTTTTCTAAGACACTTCTTTATTTCATCTGTAAAAGCAAGGGGGGAAATGTTTGTTTTAGTAATACACTATTTGGCTACATGAGGCTGAATTCCCATAAAAGCAAATACTGTATAAACTTTCCGGCCTTTTCTTTTCTTCAAATATTTGTAGGATTCTGGAAAGTTCACATGCATAGCATCCAATGCAGCAGGGGAAGCCACTGCTCCTGTTGAGTTAGTGGTCAACCCCTCACCACACTTTGACCCTAAATTGGACCCTGACCCGGGGCCTTCAGACATCCCCACATCTATCAAGTCCAACGCAAGCGGGGGTCAGGCGCGTTCCGACCTGCAGAGGGTCAGTGTGTCTGATCTTACGTCCAGTTCTGCCACCATCAGATGGCCACCGCAGAACCACATACCCGGAGTCCGCATGTACCAGATCCAGTACAATAGCTCTACAGACGATATCCTGATATATAGGTGAGTGTGGCTGCTTTGGGTTAGATCGATAATGTGTCTGATTTAACTTTTGTCCTGTGACAGGACATAACTGATGTTCACGCTCAAGCTTTCTTCTGCATCTTCAAATCAATTGTTTGGAGATAATTATAGGTTAATGATCCACTATAAGACAACATGATTTCTGTTCAGATACTCCACAGTAAGAGACAAGTTACAGAAGACCAGCCTTAGATATGATCATTTATTTATGCAGAACATCAGCTACTCTTGAGATTAACACCAGGAAAACAAAAGTTTCCCAACAGATTGTTTTTGGCTCACCATCTGACTCCCATATAGTCCCCATTGTAATCTATACTGAAAGAAATCACCACCTGAAAGACCATATTGATTATCTCTGCAAAAGAACAAAATACATAATTTATTTTCGCCGCTTCCTTAGGTTTTTTGGGGCGAGTAGACCATTTCCTCTTTTGTTCTTCACGTCTGTAATTTTGACTATTCTACGATATTGCAATACTACATGCTACAAATGTGTGTCGACTGCTTTAAAATCAAAACTGCTCCACCAGCTGGAAATCTGCTCAAAGATTGTTAGTCAACCCTGTCAGGGACTTTATGACTCAGCATACAGATGTAGCAGCTTATTTCAGACTCCAGCTTACAGCTTCCTGCCTGCTACCTGCCAGCTACCTGCCTAAGACCTGCCAAAGACCAGTATCTGGGAATGTTAAGCCCTCCCACTATTTTCCAAGAGGGCGTTGCCAGATTTTCAATTTCAGGATTTAACCAGGAGATGGCGCTTCATTCACAAAAACAGGAAGACAACTTTTCATGGACTTTCAGTTTTGTTTAGAAGAGCATTTGAACACATCAATATTTTAGATCAAATAAAGTATATCTAATCTTGTAATTCAATAATATATAGTCTTTATATATTAAATAACTATGGCCAAACTAAGACTTAGTTTTTCAAAAGAGAAAATGCAGATATTATATAAAAAACTAAAGTTAAAATCTTGTTTTTAATGCCCCAAGAGCAATAAAAACACTTGGTAAAAAAAATCCTGAGTGAGGCTTTCATAAATTGCATTTAGCTGACGCTTTTATCCAAAGCGACTTACTATTTAATAAATGATAAATGATTATTCATAACAAATATGACTGATGTGTGATTATTATTCATGCTATATACTGATATAGGGCTAAGTAAGCAATCAATCCTGCAAATTAACCCTTCGTTGTTCAATATATTTATTCAGACAATGTGAGTAGAAATACAGAAATTCTGCTCCCTCCCACCTAAGGCCAACGTTGCAATATTACAACATTTCCCTAAAAACTTACCAAAACTTAAACATTTTTAAAACTCTTTCATTTCTGCTCCAGAGGCTATACAACAACATCTGAAAGGTCAAAAAAACAAACAGGGCTAGACAGCCATTTGTAACATATGGGAGAATGGTGAAAAGAACCAACTGGACTGGGACCAATGGGAAAATGCCTCTTCCCCTCAATGTGAAGCAAAATATTGAGTCCTATGTTTCCAATCGGTTCCCAAATGTGAACATTATTTTGTATTTTTATTAAATTTGACAATGTCAATTTCACTTTCCACTATGTACATGTATCTTGGGTCAGTCTTGTCTTCCAAAAATCAGGAAGTAAAGTCAAGATGTGAACTCAACACGTAGTCACTCAGAGGGGGGTACTAATTATTTTCAAATGCATATAGGCAATGCCATCCATTTACATGTACTGTAGGCAACACTGCTCTTTCAGTCAAGAATTTGAATTTGAATGGGATGGGGAGACGCTCTGCCAACACTGACCCAATCTTCTGCTCCTTACAACCCACTCACTGCCTGTGTTTTAACACATGTTCTTTTGTTTTGTTTTATTTGTTTTGTTTTAATGTTCTGTATGGTCCTACACTATATTATTCAAATATAGCATGATAGGTCCACTTTAAGTATCCCAGTAATGTATGTTGCATGTTTTAAATGTATTGTATTTACTTGTTTAAAATGAAATGTGTTTTAGATTGACTTTTAAAATCTGTCCAGGGACTAACTACAGATGAAAAATAGCCTCTTGGCTAACTCTGGCACATTTACAGAAATGTTCATTAATGTGCACTGTCCCTGTTAAATAAATGAATAAATAAATAAAAACACCATTGCCACCGGTCATTCCACTGCCAGTGGTCACTCCAGGGTCGGCGAGACGTGTGGGATTAAAAATTAATTCGCAGAAATGTAAAGTGATCTAACTAAGTTCTATTCATATTCTTGACGGGAAGAACAGTGTAAATGGGTGGCCTATATGCATTTGAAAAGCAATATAAATCACACAGTTAATAGGCTTTAAAAGCACCATCGATAACCATTGCCCTTCTCCAATTCAAACCATGTACTATGTACAGGTATCTTGGGTCAGTCTTCCAAAAATCAGGAAGTAAAGTCCCTGGTTTGTAACAAGATGTAAAGTCAACAGGTATTCACTCAGAGGGGGGTAGGTACTAAATGCCAACCATTTACATGTAGGCAAACAAAGTCAAAAATCAACATACAGTAGGGGGGTGGGGGATGGTGAACGGTATGGTCAATGTTTGTAAACACAATCCCCAGGATGTGTCCTTATCAAACCAAAATAGAAAATGCAGATATTACACTCATAAAAGAAATGGTAGACATATCAGTAGCCTACTCTTAGTGCCAAGTTGTCTCAGACAATCTGCATTTCCTAATGTGGGACAGTTCTGTGCAAAATGTGGGACACTGAAAAGTCTATGTTAAAAAGCCTCAGTCACCTTAATTCATGTAATAAAAACATCTCAGGTCAGTAACACTGAAAAGCTAAATGTGCAATACCATGTTCAGCTATGTTACTATTTATAATGTTATTGTTGTAACAGAAGATGTTTTTCTTTATATTGAAGTTAAATGCATCAATCTGGTGCACTTTGAGGGCAAAATTAAGAGATTTATGGATACCGCTGGAAAAAGCTGCAGTACATATGCCGAGCCTGTACGTAGCGCTGTAACTTCCTCCACAAAAGCAGCCTTCTGTTTATTCAACGTGGTGGGGGCCGAGGGAACCGGGCAGAGTTTTTTGCCGGTCAACGTGTGTTAAAGTTTAAATCTTCCTTATTGAGCTTTAAAACAAATGAATAACGACTATATATAATAATAAAATACACGGAGCCTGGCCTCTCTTTGTCCTCCCTCTCTTCTGACAGCGTCAGTGTCTGTCTCATGCAGCAGCTGATCCAGTAATGAGTGACCCGGCCGACAGTAAAAATAAACATTTATAACTAGTTTAGGTTGTTTGAGAGGTAATTAAAATAGCTAAGGGTGATGATCTGACTTGAAGTGTGTGTTTTCCTCCTTGCGCTGCATCACAGCATATACTGTACAGCACTTTGGCAACTGAAGATGTTTTTCTTTAAATTGAAGTTAAATGCATCAATCTGGTGCACTTTGAGGGCAAAATTAAGAGATTTATGGATACAGCTCTCAACACTCATATGAAACAGAACTGTTATAATAATGATGAGAAACTATGAAATAAGAAATGAATCAAATTAAAATGTAATTATCATATCATATATTATATAGTGTATTGTATTAATAAGTAATATCATACATTAACCCCATTATAGCAGATGCCACATTGAATGGATGAACACATTTATGCATCAATAATTACAACAGAGTATTTCTAAATACAAGCTGTAAAAATACTTATATGTATTTAATACTAATAACATAATGATTAATTTCAGATGATAATACTTTTCAGTGTCTCTCTCATGCAGCAGCTGATCCAGTAATGAGTGACCCGGCCGACAGTAAAAATAAACATTTATAACTAGTTTAGGTAGTTTGAGAGGTAATTGAAATAGCTAAGGGTGATGATCTGACTTGAAATGTGTGTTTTCCTCCTCCCGCTGCATCACAGCTGTGTATATCACCATTCTTTAATTAAATGTTTGATAAGTGCATGCAGATCACATAGTAAAACACGTACACAGATACATTATTTTGTATTTTTATTATTATTATTATTTTTATGTCCACCATTATTTTGCACAACCAATGGCAGAACTTTATTGAGGCCTGTAATTAGTCGACTACAGGTATCTTGGGTCAGTCTTGTCTTCCAAAAATCCTGTTTCGCTTGCATCAGCTCCTGCTTCGAGCCTGGTTTAGCCTCCTTCCGAATGAAGTCTTTCATCAAGTGCCAGACCAACTCGATGGGATTCAAATCCGGAGATTCGGGTGGAGTTTTAACCCAGTTTATTCCCTCAGCCGCAATTGCAGCTGGAGCCGCGCTGTGTTTCGGGTCATTGTCTTGGAAGAAGCGGTGATCCGACCCAAAATGTCCCCTGATGTATGGACTTGCAGCTTCCTTGATGATACTGTTTTCAAAGTAGATTCTGTCCATGATTCAGTAATCACACGATTTTCATTTTGGTCAGATATATTTCATGGGGGGGAAAATTGCATATAAGATCAGTGTGTGTGCAATGTGTGGTGAAAAGAGTCAATATATAGAGTTCAATCCGCTTTAGCAAAAAGGCCAGTTGGTTACAACCCCAACGGTTCAATCCAGTTCATAGGCCAACAAACAAAGGCAACTAAAAAAGTCCGCTCCTGGTTTTACCGCGGATCCACCCAAAACCACAAAACAGCGTCTTTAACAGAAAAGGCAAATTGCGGCATTAGAACAGCCCCTTAGAGCAGGTTCTGCCGCCATGCGGTGAAAGGAGGAATTACATTTGAAATATTTATTGAAAGTGCTACAGGGTCATAAATAATACATTATAAGAACGAAGTGGCGGGCCTTATTTAATCTGACGGCGGGCCGTAATTGGCGGGCTGTTTTACATGTATCGCCTCTTACCCAGCCCCTATATTTGATGATTGAAGGGGGAACAAATTTGAAGCTGAAATAATCGTCTCTCCAAAACTTAAAACCATAATCTACAAACAATCTAGAGATCAGGATAAATATAGAACATACAGACTAAAATGTGTTTGTCTCCTTCTCCGGCTCATTCAGGATGATCCCGGCCAACCACAAGTACTTCCTGCTGAGTGACCTGGCGTCATCGCGAGACTATGAGCTATGTGTTTTGGCCGTCTACGATGATGGCATCACCGCCCTGACAGGAACAAAGCTGGTGGGCTGCGTGTCCTTCACTACGGAGACTGAGTATGGACGCTGTCACTCAATAAGAGACCAGGTAAGTGTGTTATACCTGCATCATCATCTAATAAAACAAATGTTATTTAGCCAGAACAGCATTCAATGCCCTAAGACCATTGCTGCAGACAAGGAAATACTCCTCAGAAGAAACAGTTGTTATTTCAGGAGGAAATAAATGGAAGGTACTTTAGGAATATCTTCCTGTGACAGTCAATATGTATGCAATGCCATAGTGCAGTGGTTCCCAAACTTTTTCAGTCCGGCCCCCCTTGGGTAATTGGAAATATTTTTGGGCACCCCCAACCCGGTTCCCATCTATATTGGTAGGATTAATTGTATATTGTTGTAAAAACATTACATTTTCTCTGCTAATAATAAGAAGATACAAAGATCCAACTATAATTCTATATTTTATTATGGATTACACATGAACAAATGTGCTTGTAATAGATACTGTGAATTAATTTGGCCTAATTAAAACTAGTAGGCCTTCTTCCCTGAGTAGTAGATTTTTAAAATCGAATTTCTTTAAGGAAAATATATGAATGAACACTTATTTCTACTGCAGGTTGCAAACGATCACATCACTATACCATTCCTATTCCACACATAGCCTATCAATGACTTGTGTGTGCTTGCTTTCCCTTGCAGATCTTCCCAAACCGGGACTATTGTTTTGAGACTGCCACTCTCAGTTAATTAGGGCCTGAGCACGAAGTGTGCGAAGACCTATTGTTATGTGTAACAGGTTGGAAATGCTAGATGTTAAGTTTAAACAGACACCCCCCCCCTATTTTTTGTTAATAATATAATCTTCCAAACATTTATACAATACACTGTAACGTCAGTAGATGGCGCCCTGGTGCTGCTGTGGATCCATTAGGGAGGAGCTCAGCTCATGCTCATGTCAGAATAGTGATGGGAATTCCGGCTCTTCTTGGTGAGCCGGATCATTTGGCTCGGCTCACCAAGAAGAGTCGGCTCTTTCGGCTCCCAAACGGCTCTTCAGTTTACCACATATTATACCTTTTATAATTCAATCAAATGTAGCCCTGTTTTGACTAATGATTTATATGTGTACACATATCACTTAAATTATTCAATACATCCTTTGTACTGAAGTATTCAAAAGTAAAAATGACATGTTTAATATCAATGATTTGCTGTGGCCAATTGTTTTCATTGCATTTACAGACCCTTGTAACTCTCTGATACCACCCAAAGAATGCACTGACTTGCTTGTAGAACCACGCTACACAAAGCAGATAGCAACACCTATACAAACTTAAGCATAGACATTTAAAAAAAGGGGCTACTGTATCGACATTTTAAAATTATATTTAAGGAAAAGGCCCTGACAAAACAGCAGGGCTCTATTTCAGTATTGCTGACATCAAATCTTCGCTGAGCCCAAGGATAATCATAAATAAATAACATAGTCAAAATAAATATATTGCAATGCTCAGTACAGCAGCATCCAACCGTCTCTAATCATAAAAAAACATAATACAAATAAATGTATTGCAATGCTCAAAACAGCAGCATCCAACAGTCTCTAATCCTTGGATATTACATGCCACTGCATGCATGCACGGAGCAGCTGTAGCGCGGAGATCATCATATCATTCTGTCTTGTATTACTTAAAATATAACAAAAACAAAAAAACGGCTCGTTCGCGGGCGACACATCACTATGTCAGAAATAAACGTGCTGTGATCTGAGCAAGACGCTAACTTTGGTCCTCTCTCTACAAATCCACAGGCAGTGGCGGCCGGTGGTCTTTTTTTTTGGTGGGGCTCTTGACGTACCGGAAGTGATCTACCTGGTGGGTCCGGGGGGTTTCCCATTTTTTTCGAGAAATGACCCCTTAAATGATGACTTCTGGTGATGTTAGAGGGGGGGGGAAAGGAGAAATCGAGGCTTAAAAATATGAGAAGACTGATCAATACCTCCATAATCTTCAGTGTGGAAAATATTATTTATCAACCTGAACATCTACTACTTTACCAGGAATTTGTGTTCTCAGAACTGGTCTGTTTTTTTCTTTCTTAAAACTGTTCATGTTTTATGAACCAACACCTTCACCAAGTAGCTTTACAGTGAACTGCATGTGAGATATAAAATTAATAGCATCTTTTCAGTAGCATTAATTATAAATATTTAAGTGGTTCAATACAAGTCACTACAGCATTTCAAACTGAACTGTGAATAAATGCAATTTAAAAAAAATAACCACAGCACAAAATGTCATAAATTGTGTTTTTTCTTTGTTTCTCTGAGGATTATTTACAAACAGGCTTATTTACATATAGCAATAACTCAGAAATGAAAAAGCTACATCGTCTAACACGAACAACCAGTTAGCATAATGATAATATATGTGTTATGTACAATGTAACTGGCAAGGCTAGAGCAAGAAAGAACATAAAGTTTGCAAAAGGTTTAAATAACTTCAAGTATCTGTCTTCAGATTACGTGGAGGTTTTAGTCCGATGGGAAGCAGATTTTAAGCGACACCGAAGATAAACCAAAAATGTGGTGGAGCTGCAAACCGTGTAGTGTTGCTGGGACAGGACAGGAGCTATAACCGTTGGAAAATACATCACAGACAATGCAACAAACGTGGAGACAGAACAATCACTTCTGTGATAAATGCCCACTTATTAATAAACTTGTAACAACCATGGGAAACCTCCTCTCTACATATAAAGTGATATCCAGCTTATTGGCCGATAGCACCTTTTTTACTGCTTTGAATAACAAAATGTGCAACAGGCAGAAAAAAGACAAAAACAAAAGGAAACAAGAAACAACTGTTCCTCTGGGGAAAATGAGTCGAACGCAACAGGTTTCCAAACAGTACTCATGTTCCTGGACTTTGTGGTTGAACAAAACATCTTAGGTATCCAAAAGTAACTTCACAACATTCTGCGGCCGTTTAATTGTCTCTCTAATGAAACGCATTTTTTTAAGGGTCGGCCATCTGTGTTTGCTGCGAGAGCTTGTGTGTGTGTGTGTGTGTGTGTGTGTGTGTGTGTGTGTGTGTGTCTATTTGTAGAGGAATTTTGCCCTTCTCTCCTTCTGAGTGGCAAACCTCTCAATGACTCTGGTATTGAAGTCAGGAATGCTCCTAATGAGTTTTTTCTCAATTGACAGCATAGCCAGAGCATTCAGGCGATCCTGTGTCATGCTGTTCCTCAAGAAAGTCTTTATCCTTTTCAGAGTGGAAAAGCACCTCTCTGCCTCAGCCGTAGCCATGGGTGTGGTTACAAGAACCTTCAGAAGACTGACAGTCTCTGTGAATGTCTCCTGCAGATTATTGTCAAGGAAGAACTGGAGCAGAGTAACAGCACCACTGCAAGCCCTGAACTGGTCATTGTCATAGACGAGGGACAGTTCCGTCTTGAGCTTTGCCTTGTCCAGTAGAGGGTAGGCCTCCACAGTTGTTTCCAGCGCTGCTTCAGGGAATGTTCGGCTGTGCTGCTGGAACAGGTCTCCTTGCAGGAGGGTGGAGCTGATTAGGTGTTTGGTGAAGGAAAATCTCTCCTTTGCGTGACTCAGTATGGTATCACATACCTATGAAATAATGCACAATGAAAAAATCAAGACATAATAAATAACAGAATCACCTTTTCACATCTATCAGTCATAATGTCATTAGTGTCCCCTATAAGATGTGTAACAAACAAAGAGCTTTCTTGTGAATGGAACCTATCAGAATAACAGGACATCTATCTGAGCATCAACAGAACAATATTACTGTTTAAAATTAAGTCACTACAATATATACATTTAATGACTATGTTTACACTTCATTCATTTATTGTTGGGCCCTTTCTGTCCACTGTGGTTGCTTCTGGAAGCCTAAACCTTTTCTGATCTGTCTTGATCCCCTTTGAAATGTAGAGACTGTGGGACACTTTTTGCAGTTTAGGCCTTGTTAAGTGTATACAATTCAGAATGTAATAAGCAATAGGCCTTTCCATGTGGATATTTTAACTAGCCTACCTATTTATTTAATTTACAGAAAATGGGCTTTCTTGTGAAATGTATCATTATTGTGATATGAAATGACCTATATTATGAAAGGAGCTTTTAGTCATAGAACACGTTCCTATTACTGCTTACCTCTCTAGCCAACAGCTGTTGCTCTTCATGTCCAAGTCCCCTCCGTTTCTTTGTGGGCAGCTGCTGAGATCCACTGCTTTCACCAGAAGGAATGGAGTCCCTGATCCAAACCACAAGTAACCATGTACAATTACTCATTGTGGCAAGAATTGACAAATTAACTTGACTATTTGAAATAGTAGTCAGAGATACACCTTATAAACGTTATATAATATATACATTTCCAGTAAGCCCGTTTAAGATATTTAAACAAGTATGTGTGAGTTGGTCTATTGTGTTCAGCTAAATCACATTTAGGTTTCACAGATTTCCTATAATAAGCACATCTCAGCCATTGTAAATAATGATTTACCTGATTGTTTGTATGCTGCTGGTGAACCTCTTGATGAGTCCTGTGATGTAGACAGAGTCAATGTTCCTCTTCTGCAGTTGGCTAAACAGCATGTGGCATGATCTTGTGGAACAATGTCAGGAAAAAGCAAAAAACTTCATCTTCCATCATTCTCTCACTGTTATGGGATCAAAGTCACCTGAGTCTCTGATTGTCTGGAAACACCTCAGGATGTTCTCCTTGTGCTCATATACAGTGTTAACAGCACGACTGTGAAAGTTCCATCTTGTTGTGGAAGTGCCAGGAAGTCTGTGTGCCACCACTTGATCCAGGATCGCAGTTCGCTTGAATGACCTGGAGAAAAATGCAGCAAATCCACCAAGGTCTGAAAAAAATGTTCTTATCTTGGGGATGTGGGATGTTGCCTGCTGCATAATTAGGTTCAGCTGATGCGCATAGCAGTGGATGTAGTGCGCACTACTGTACACATCCTTCACTTTCCGCTGAACTCCACCTTTAGCTCCCCTCATCACCGCTGCACCGTCATAGGCTTGGGCGATTAGTTTGCCCTGTTGTCCATCGGGGAGGATAGTGCCCAGCCTCTCCATCAGCGCGGTGGCAACTGTGTCAGCATTCGCATTCTGAAGAGGAATGAACTCAAAAAAACGCTCCTGGACGTTGTTATGCGGGTCGATGTAGCGTAGCACAAGCACTAACTGGCAGTGGGTGGAAATGTCAGTTGTCTCATCCGCCTGAATAGCTAAATAACTGGCATTTTTTACTTCCTCCAGAATGTAGTCTTTACAAACTGATAACATGCAGTCCAAAAGTTCATTTTGCACCGTCTTTGAGGTGCCTTTGAAAACCGTAGCCGTTTTAAGGTGATCCTCCAACACGCTATCTAACGAGGCCAGTAGATTAACTAAACCCAGAAAAACGCCGGGGTTGTTGGATGTGTCAGTCTCGTCGTGGCCACGCAAAGCCAGGTCGAAGCCCCCACAAAATTTCACACAATCAATTATTTTAGACAAGACGTGCCTATTCGTGTCCACTTCTTCATTGTGCTTTTTCACCGACATCTTGTACCCTTGATCTAGCTGTGCGGCTATGTTAGCTTTGCCTAGCATGGCTAGCTTAAAGGTGTTTGTCATGTGTGCCTTTGTGCACTCGTGCTTTTTAATTCTTTCGGACAAATGCTTCATATCATGTACTCCCATCACAGTCCACGGGCACATCGTATCTGTCCCCGGCTGTTTGAAGAGCAAGCATGGGAAACAAAAGACAGCATTTACCTGTTTGCATCCAGCTAGCCAAGCCTTTTTTGTGTACCAGCTACTTGCGAAGCCTCGTGTATAAGTTTTGTCTTTTTCACGAGATTGCTGCGATATATTCAAATCGGGTTGGTCCGGTCCAAGGTCTTTAAGCAACAATTTATCTGCCAAACTTCTCCTTTCGAAAGGATTGGAGATTAGCTCTTGAACAGAATTAGGCGGGGACCGAGGTCCGGAGACTCCACCTGCACACGAAGCCATCCTCATCAACTACTGCGTCAACCGGATACGAGTCACTGTCCAAACTACTCACAGACTGCACGGGGCGCTGACATTGGCGCCCCGTGACCGTCATATTTGACGACGCTGATTGGCTGAAATTATGTTTTCGCGGCATAGTTTACACGTTACAGATAGCAACAGTCAGCTGCTAGTGGCTGCTGCTGCACTGGTTGAGGGCTCCTCTCTTAGCGCCCCAGACGAGAGAAGGTACACGGGCAAGGCCAGGCAGGAAACATGTGACTTATCAGTAACTTTAGACATCGTAACACAATTTTAAACGAGATTTTATTGTAGATTATACATTTTACTGATACCAATTATATAATATTTACCTTGTTCATTAAAAATAAAAATAAAAATATATATATTTTTTTAAATATATTTTTTATTTTTATTTTTATTTTTATTTTTTAATATGGGAAGAGGTGGGGCGGCGCCCCTAGCGCCCCTATGGACCGGCCGCCACTGTCCACAGGTACTGCAAAACTAACGTTTCTGTCTTTAGCTTGCATCAAGATATAATGTAAATGCACTGTCAATGGTTTAGTAATGTTTCACAGGATTTGTGATATGTGTGTAAGTGTAGCAAGTGTCCTTTTGTAGCTAATTGTTCTGGTTAGCATCGCCATGCTAAGTAGCTGTTTTCATAAAACACAGTTTTACACAGTAGTTTTGTACGTGTAAGTAACTGACATTTAAAACTGTGGCATAAGCAAATGTATTTTAAATGTTGTTAAGAGTATTAGCCAGCCAGCAGTGATTAATGGTGATGAGGAAAATACCATAGTTAAGCTAGTTTCACAGTTCCGACCATTCAGTAACATGGCGTGGTCACGCCATATTGTCACGTGCTGCTGTTTAGTGAGTGTGTTTTGAGTTATATTATTTTGGTACCTATTCATAAGCTAAGTTAAGCCAATTATTGTTTATGTGGAATATATGTTAAATCATTTTAATTAATATGCATGTATTTCTTATTTAGGCAGAATGTTTTATATTATTTATACTTTATACTTTTTATATGTTTTGTCTGTAAGACGGTTTGACATTAATTTATCATGCATTTGAACTGAGAGCCTTGACATAATGTGACTGAACTGTATGCCATTGATGTAAGAAATAAACGTGCTGTGATCTGAGCAAGACGCTAACTTTGGTCCTCTCTCTACAAATCCACAGACACAGTTTATATGTTGGTTACACAGTGCTCCTTAGCCTGTGTAAACCTTGCTGCTGGTCCAGATTACCCTTAGGTCTGGTGCCGGTAACAATTGGGGGCTCGTCCGAGATGATCTAGCGTCGCTGCCTGGTGAAGTTGGTGCTGAGACGACGTGAACCTGTGTCCAACGCTTCAGGGAAGACTGCAATCCAGTGCGTCATCCAGAGAGCGGAGGCCACCTGTGTAACATCATCATGGCCACTGTCACCCCACGGCGAACGCTGGTCTTCGAGATCCAAAAGAGACTTTCTGGTTTGAGTGCAAGTCAGCTATTGGCAGTTGCAAGTGCAATTAGTGACGGCAGCGAGACCAGCAACATTGGTGCAGAGTTTAGCTATGATAAGAGGCTTGTTCAGGGTACTTTTCTCCACACGCTTTACCAAGGGTTAAATGAGAAAAACAACCATGTTCGGCATGATCTCAAACCACTTCTCAGAGATTTGCAGGTTAGTGATGACTTTCTCTTAGATCAAATCACTAAGTCTACTTGTGAGGAGGTAGAAAGACTAAGACGCCTTGGCACAGTGGCTAAAACCAGACCAGTGACTGTAAGCACAGCTCAGGTTGACAGTAGTGACTCAGCTAAGCAAGACCAAGTTGACACTGAGTTACAGGCTAACCGTGTTGCTATTAGAGAACTAACTGCACAGGTGTCCTCACTGACCAAACATATGGCTCAGATGGTGAAACCAACTGACAGTGCGACACTTGGGGACCCCATCTCACCAGCAGCCCGTCCTCAGGCACCAACATCTGAGACCAGAGGCAGATGCAGTGAATGCGTACAACAGAGCAGGGCAAACTGCCCTCACTGCTTTATTTGTGGCCAAGCTGGACATCGCGCCATCGGTTGTCTGAAAAGAAAGATTTCGGGAAACGGGGCGTGGTCACTGGAGAGAGGCAGCCAGTGACCATGACAGCTGAGGAGCCTCCAGAACAAGCCAGCCACTTGAAATCAACCAGTAGTGTAAAAGCAAACACACAGTGTCAACAACTACCAAGAAAGCGCATAGCACAACTAATTGGAAAGCAATGCATGGTCTCCTGTGCTATCAACGAAGTCCCTCTTCAAATGTTGCTCGACTCAGGGGCTCAAATGACAATGGTAGGGAGAGAATGGATGGAAACGACACTTCCGAACCTCCAAATCCAGCCACTCCAAACCCTCCCTTGCTACCCCCCTTTGGAGATTTCTGCAGCGAATGGCACAGATGTTCCCTTTGATGGATGGGCAGAGGTTGAACTCCAGGTCCGTAATGAGAATTATGGACATGTCACAATACAAGTGCCAGTATTAATCAGCAAAAACTGTCTTAACTGTCCTATTTTCGGCAGTAATGTCATAGCTGAGATAATCAACACAAATTAAGAACAGAAAGGTGAGGCTGATATTTCTGCTTTGCTTAAAGAAGCTTTAAGTATCAGTGACAGTGCAGTGGAAGCCCTAGTTTCTGCTCTGCAGATTTTGACCCCCGATGAGACCGCCCCTGAGTGCAGTGTGAGAACAGGGAAGAAAGGTGTCACTATTCCAGCAGGAAAGATCGGTGAGGTTAGGTGTAGAGTCAGGGAATGGCCAAGGGGCGGGACATGCTCTTTCAACCCGACCTAGTGAGTAACTGTTCTGAGGGGTTAGAGCTGTTTCCAGCTTTAGTAGATGTTCCAAGTGGGTCCACTAAGATGGTAAAAATTCCTATTCAGAACCCCACTAAACATGATATCTACCTCACAAAGAGAACAGTTCTAGGCACATTGGAGGAAGTTCTTGAAGTGAAACCAGTTAACTGTTTTCCAGATGGTGGAGAGTCAAAGTCCCATGCCACTGTGAACACATACTCAGCTCAGCTAAGCACAGACAAGCCGAGAGAAACAAGTGACAAACAGGAGACAAAGGAAATGGAAAAACAAAAATCGCACCCGCCTGTTGATGTCTCACACCTGCAAGAGGATGAACAAAAGATAGTGAGAGACATGTTGTATGAAGAGTCAGATGTCTTTGCTAAGGACGATTCTGACATTGGTTGCATTCCAAACTTGCAGCAAAAAATCCACCTAAAAGACGAAACACCAGTCCAAGCAGCCTACAATTCAGTTCCTAAGCCTTTGTACAAAGAGGTGAAGGAATATGTCCAGAACCTGCTCGACCACGGCTGGATCAAAAAGTCCATCTCACCCTACTCGTCTCCTGTGGTCTGCGTCAGAAAAAAAGACAAGAGTTTACGCCTGTGTGTTGACTTTCGGGGCTTGAACCGCAAAACTGTCCCTGATCGCCACCCTCTTCCACGCATCCGAGATCTGTTGGATAACCTGG